TCTCTTCTGGGGACAGTTCAGATCTGCACTGTGGTCTCTTCTGGGGACAGTTCAGACCCACACTCTGGTCTCTTCTGGGGACAGTTCAGATCCGCACTCTGGTCTCTTCTGGGGACAGTTCAGACCCACACTCTGGTCTCTTCTGGGGACAGTTCAGATTTGCACTGTGGTCTCTTCTGGGGACAGTTCAGACCCACACTCTGGTCTCTTCTGGGGACAGTTCAGACCCACACTCTGGTCTCTTCTGGGGACAGTTCAGATCTGCACTGTGGTCTCTTCTGGGGACAGTTCAGACCCACACTCTGGTCTCTTCTGGGGACAGTTCAGATCTGCACTGTGGTCTCTTCTGGGGACAGTTCAGACCCGCAGTCTGGTTTCTTCTGGGGACAGTTCAGACCCACACTCTGGTCTCTTCTGGGGACAGTTCAGATCTGCACTGTGGTCTCTTCTGGGGACAGTTCAGACCCACACTCTGGTCTCTTCTGGGGACAGTTCAGATCCGCACTCTGGTCTCTTCTGGGGACAGTTCAGACCCGCACTCTGGTCCCTGCACTTCCCACCCCGCGTTGGCTTCCATCCCCTTCGTTTTCAGCTGATGGCTGTTCTTACCTGATTGTTTGTGTTCATTTATCTGCCAAGAATGGACACTTGTAAGCTTGTTTTTGTTTTTGTTTTTGTTTTTGTTTTTGTTTTTTTAAAGGTGGCTGGAGAGACAGCCGTGGGTGCTGGGAACCGAACTCTTATATTTTTGGTTGTGAGCCTAGCCTTTAACGGCTGAGCCATCTCTCCAGCCCAAGCTTGTTTTTTTTACACAGTAAACATGTAAGCTTTCCACACCCGGGTCTTTGTGGAGGCGACAGAACTCCAGTGTCTCTGTCTTCAGCCTTTATTTAATCTTATTTTGTCTTTCTCCTTTGCAGAGACCATGTCCCTGACTCATTAACCAGGCCACCAGCCCGCTCTGAAGATGTGTTCTACGAATCCAGGCAGCTGGGTCACCTTCGACGATGACCCTGCTTTTCAGTCTTCTCAGAAGACTGAAGGTGTTTGCAGACCGAATGGACTGAAGCTGAGCCTGCCTGGCCTCAGGGACTTGGCTAGTGCTCCCTCCTCAGCCAGCAGCACGCCCCTCTCCTCTCCCATGGTCGACTTTTACTTCAGTCCGGGACCTCCAAGCAACTCACCTCTTTCTACACCCACCAAAGACTTCCCGGGCTTCCCCGGCATCCCTAAAGCAGGGTCTCACGTGCTTTATCCTATTCCAGAATGTTCTTCAAGCAGCCCCCCCAAAACCGCAGGAGGAGCAGGTCCTTCGTTACCACTGACTAAGCCAACCTGCTCACCCCAGGCCTCATTGCCCTGTGACCACTCCCGCGCCCAGCTGACTCCCAAAGCTGGTCCTGAAGACGACGCCAGCCCTCAGCGGGCCCCTAGCGAGACTCTGCAGTTTGAGTATTTTCGAGACGACTGTGCGTTTTCCAACCCATTTTGGAAAGATGAAGGTAGCAGTTCTCAGTTCCCCTTGGACTCCCTGGCAAGCAGAAAGCCGTTCTCATCAAGGGACAAGGAAGCACCCATGGATCAAAAGAGCCTCAACCAATGCTCGCTCAGCTACATCTGCGAGAAGCTTGAACACCTGCAGTCGGCGGAGACCCAAGGCCCTCTTGGGAATTTGTCTCGGCGGAGCCCGTCTGCCGGAGACACCGCCTCTTCTTTTGTCCCGCACACGCTCTTCCGGAGTCAGCCCAGAGATGGATGGGCCTTCATGCTGAGGATTCCCGAGAAGAAGAACATGATGTCTTCCCGGCAGTGGGGACCCATTTTCCTGAAGGTTCTGCCGGGAGGGATCCTGCAGATGTACTATGAGCAGGGGCTGGAAAAGCCATTCAAAGAGTTCCAGCTTGATCCGCACTGCAGGCTTTCTGAACCCAAACTCGAGAACTTCAGCATGGCGGGGAAAATCCACACCGTGAAGGTGGAACACGTGTCTTACGCGGAGAAAAGGAAATACCATTCCAAGACCGAAGTGGTTCGCGAGCCCGAGGTAGAGCAGATGCTGAAGCTGGGGTCCACGGAGCACCGTGACTTCCTTGAGTTCCTGACCACTGTCGAGGAGGAGCTGGTAAAGCTGCCCGCTGTTGCACGGCCAAGGAAGATCTACGAGGAACAGGAAATCTACCTGGACATCGTGGACAACTTTTGGGGTACGGTAACCAAAGGAGACGGGAAATTGGTCGAAAGTGCTGTGGTAACTCAAATCTCTTGCCTCTGCTTCGTGAATGGGCCGGCGGAATGTTTTCTAACCTTGAATGACCTTCAACTGCAGAAACGAGATGGATGCTGTTTTGAGAAAGAACCAGAAAAAAGGGGGATCGATATTCTTAACTACCATTTCCATCCCTGTGTGAAAGCCGAAGAATTCCAGCAGTCTAGAGTCATTAAGTTCGTGCCGCTGGATGCTTGCCGGTTTGAGCTCATGCGCTTCAAAACCTCCTACGAAGGGGAGGAGCTTCCGTTTTCTGTGAAGTCCGTAGTGGCTGTCCAGGGGGCATATGTGGAACTCCAGGCTTTTGTCAACATGACCCCGGGGCCTCAGAGGTCACCCCATGCCAGTTCCTTGAGGTGCTGTGACAATATCATGATTCACTTTCCTGTCCCAGGCCAATGGATCAAGGCCCTCTGGACCAGGAACCTTCAGAGGCAGAAATCCCTGAAAGCCAAAATGAACCGTCGGGCATGTCTGGGGAGTTTACAGGAACCCGAATCTGAACCCGTCATTCAGGTCACTGTAGGGTCAGCAAAATACGAGAGCGCCTACCGGGCTGTGGTGTGGAAGATAGATCGGCTTCCGGACAAAAACTCAAGTAAATATCCAACGCCTAGGCTTAGTGTTTCCACCCACGTACTTGGACCCAAAGCGGGCAGAGGCGGATGGTGGCTTGAGAGATGAGGGTCCGCTAGCCCAGCCAGGTGGGAGGTGGGACATCTGGCCAAACAGCTGGTTTACTTGTTTTCTTTTGTGTTTATTTCCACCCGATGACCTTAGCTTCTTCTGCCTCTTTTAATGTCAAAAGAAATGGCACCCTAGTTTACAGATTTTCTGTGGTGGTACCAAGGAAATGTTTATAGGAAGGGAGGGGAGGGAGGGATGAGGAAAGGGAGGGAGGGAGAAAGGGATGAATGGATGGATGGATGGATGGATGGATGGAGGGAGGGAGGGAGGGAGAGCATCCTTTGGCTTCCAGGAAGAGCATTACCTCATCCTCCCGAGTTCTGTAGTTGAAGCAGTTCACTTGTGAACCGCCTGGACCGAGCCCTCACCGTGGTGCCTCTGGGTAGCTCCTTCTGGGTGGGTCTCACCTGCTGGGCAGTTCTGGTTCCACTTCTGGACAGAATTTCCTGGAGGAAATTAGTGTAAATTCGTGGAAGGAAGGCGTGAAGGGCTGGGTCTTCCTGGCATAATCCATCCTTGCCGATCCGTGGATTCTCGGACAATCCAATGCTGTTGATGGGGTTATTTTCATTGGTAATGTACAGTCCCTACTTCCACTCTGCACAGACGCTCTGTCTGGTTCCAGAAGCTGTCTCAGAGACCAGGATGTCACTCGACCCTCAGGGTTCCCCATATGTACAGCTACCCGCCTGCTTTCCCATTTCTGATTTTTGCTACGGCGTGGGATTAAAAAAAAAAAAAGGACAAATAGATTTCAAAATTGACCCCTGAGAACATGTAATTAAGATCTCCAAACCGGCTTCCCCCAGACACGGAGGTTTAACCTGCTTCAGCAACCTAGTTGTCTGACAACCAGATGCATACTCTCTGTGTCAGCCACTGACATGCCCACTGCATGGGAGCCCGTACCATCAGAGGCCATGGTGGCTAGACTACACCAGCACTGCCTAGCCTTGTCCTGAGCTAACTAGGCCATGTCATGGGCAAATCTTGCGGCTGATCAGAGTCATATCAAGGCTGAGTGGAGTGTGGCGTCCGTGAAGGAGAGTGTGGCGTGTCTGGTAGGATGAGGACAGGCTGGGGACTCCCTTTCTGCACAGGGCACTTGGGCTCCTCAGACTCCCAAGTTGGTGCCAGGTGCCTGCTGAATCCTGTCTGGAGCTCAAACTCTAGCTGGTTACATTAGCAAGTTGCGAGGCATGGGCAGAGATCAGTCCAGGAAGCAGGTACGCCATTGGCTGGGCTTTCTCTTCCTGCCTACATCATTCAGGTCTCTAAGGAAATGGTCATCACCCTGGGGACATATGAGGTTTTCCTGGGGAGTGATTCAAACATACTGGTGCCTGGATCCCAGGGATACTGCCGTATTCAAAACGCCCACAGAAGAATCTCTCTCTCTCTCTCTCTCTCTCTCTCTCTCTCTCTCTCTCTCTCTCTCTCTCTCTCTCTCTCTCTCTCCCTCTCCCTCTCCCTCTCTCTCTCTCCCTCTCCCTCTTTCTTTCTCCCTCTCCCTCTCCTTCTCTCTCTCTCTCTCTCTCTCTCTCTCTCTCTCTCTCTCTCTCCCTCTCTCTCTCTCCCTCTCCCTCTTTCTTTCTCTCTCTCTCTCTCTCCCTCTCCCTCTCCTCTCTCTCTCTCTCTCTCTCTCTCTCTCTCTCTCTCTCTCTCTCTCGTTTCCTTTGATGATCATAGCATGGAGAAGGAGAAGCCCAAGGTGCGCTGATGGTCCCTGAAGGACCCCCAGAGGTTCCTGGGGACTGTTAAATGTGGATGCTGATGTCCTGATCTTTATCTCCTACCCTAGGCAGACATGCACAGGAAAGATCTGGCTGGATAACAGATGGATGGTTTCATCAACTCCCCCAGTTCGACTCCACACCCCAGTGTTCTGCTAGAGTGAATGCACATTAAAAAGCAAAAGAGCTCCTTGATCAAGAGGGAAAGACTGGGAGAGGAAGGCAATGGTGGCCGCGGGGATTTAGAACGCGGGGATTTAGAAAGGGTTGCCGGAGTGGGCCTCACCAGCAGCGTGGGCTTTCACTCCCCCTGGGCTCCTTTCTGCTTCGCTCTTTGTCAGCAGCATCTTAGTTCTTTCCCTCGCGATTGAGTCCTCCTACGTCCATTTTCTTCAGCTCTTAATAGTTCAGCTTCAGGTGTGGAATCCGTTGGGTCAGGAGAGACTGGCTATCAACAGGACCTAAAGAGATTTGGTGGTTTGCTTTCCAAGTCCTGAGCTGAGAGGTTACCCTGGAAGAATAATTACTAAGGCCCGGCAGTGACCCCTTGTGGTCGGCACCGAGATGACAGGCTTTTTCTCTATTATTTCTTAAATTTGACAAGTGTCTTTTAGGCAAGGAACCTGGTCTGGTATCTTTACTTCAAAGCATGAATAACAGTGTGTTAGTAAAAACTGTAGAATGGCCAAAATCTTGGGGGGAAAGCCACCAGAAAACTTGGGAGAAAAATACTTTTACCACCAGCTTTTTAGGAAAAATGGTAGAAGTGTCGTTTCTATTATTTAAAAAAATGTATTTTCCATCCCCATTTCCACTGGAAAACTTCCCTAAGAAACTTTTCCTGAACAACGTAAACAACAAATGAAGTAAACTTCAGTATCATTACCAAGTTTAAATGTGTAGAATCCACAGTTTCCTGACTGGCAAAGTATAGTCATTGGCACTTGGCAAAGTGTTAAGATCGGCTGTTTCTGCCACTGCCCAGTATGTCTGCTGGTTGGTTATCCTCACAACAACAACTGTGTGAGACCCTCATTGGGGGAAACTGAGGCTCAGAGAGTTAGGTGACTTGCCTAGAACCACACAGCTCTTAATTAGCAGAGCTGGGTCTAGAGTTTGTGTTCTAAAATAGTAATAGAAGGGAAAAGTTGTTGGAAGCGATTTACTGTATCCTCTCTTCTGAAAGTCTAGACAGGAGGGAAGATTGTGAGAACTCTACTCATCCCTCTGTCTGTCTGTCTGTCTGCCTGTCTGCTTGCCTATCTGTCTGTCTGCCTGTCTGCCTGCCTGCCTGCCTGTCTGTCTGTCTGTCTGTCTGCCTGTCTGCCTGTTTGCCTGTCTGTCTGTCTGCCTGTTTGCCTGTCTGCCTGTCTGTCTGCCTGCCTGTCTGTCAGCCTGCCTGCCTGCCTGCCTGTCTGTCTGCCTGTCTGCCTGCCTGCTTGCCTATCTGCTGCCTGCCTGTCTGCCTGTCTGCCTGCCTGTCTGTCTGTCTGTCTGTCTGCCTGCCTGCTTGCCTGTCTGCCTGTCTGCCTGTCTGCCTGTCTGTCTGCCTGTCTGCTTGCTCTCCTCCCCACCCCCTCAGTCTCACCTGCAGTGATATGGGCAGCTTAAGGCCCCACAGAGGCCACCGTTATCCCATCTTCTGTGTTAGTGCTGTGGAGTGAGCATCAGCTGCCTGATTGATGGGTGACTTCTCTAGGCCTTTGACAGCTTCAGAATTTGATCAGTCTCCCCACAAGAAAGAGGCTGCAAGGAATAAAAGACGATTTGTCTTTTTAAATAAATTTTTTTATTTAAAAAAGCAAAATCTTTTAAACTCATGTTTTTGTGCCTAGGGCTATCCTCTGATAAAAAAAATTTTTTTTCTTGAGTTGTATCAGTAGCACAGGAATTTAATCTGGCTTTTGAAATTACTGTTTTGTTTTTTTAGTTACATTTATTTGAAGGTGATTAAACTGGATGTGATTAGATGTCAGGAACAATGTGAGATGACCACGGGACATTTGTGAAGTTATGATAGGGACACACACACTTGAATGCTTTCGTTGTTTGTTTTGAGGTAAGGGCTTAGGCTGGCCTCAAACTCGGACGTAGTCTAGAACGACTTACTCCCTTACCACTGCCTTTTAAGTGCTGGCATTACAGGTGTGTGCCTGGCTCCCAAATATTAATCCATTGGAATTCTCTCCCTCTCACATACTGTAATTCCCACCTAAACTTTCCGAGTATACCTAGTACCCCTGGGCCCGGCACAGCGTGCGGTAGATCCCCGTGACAATGCACTTCACCGAGAACAAATATTAACTGAAGTATTGAAGGCCTGTATGCTCATCTCTCTCCTGTAATATCCGTTCTAGTAGAAGATTTTCAGGACAATGAGTAGGAATTTCGGTGGTGAAAGAAATTCCATTCCACTAAAACAGGAAGCATTATACCAAAATTTCAAGCCTGACTTTTAAAAGTCAAGGTTTTGAAACCATGTGACCTAATTTGAAGTCCATCTGCATTATCTAAAAGTAAACACTGGTTTAAGGAAATGACTGGGACCTGTTGAAGCTTATCCAGTCTGCCCGGGAGGAAGGCTTCGAGGGGACTGAATCACACTGTGGTCAAATAATTCTGCTTCATATAAGTATTGCTCTTATCTGATCGTGTGACTTTTGTGACTAAAGCCATTTTTAAGAGCTGATCTGTGTGGGGACAGTGTGACAGCTTCAAGCCTGCCTCTGGGTTCTTCCTGCTTGGCGCACAGTTGATGTTTGCTAACGGGACTGTCACTCCAGCGAGGAGCGAGGGTTGTAGACTTTTCCTTTGCCATTGCATCATTCTGACGCTGTTGGGTTGACTTCTTCTAGGTCCTGATCAGCCCCATTGTCTGTCGTACAAACTAGAACTTGGATCAGACCAGGAGATCCCCTCTGATTGGTACCCATTTGCTACTGTCCAGTTTTCAATGCCGGAAGCCTCTGCCTCGGGGACAGAGGTGAGGACCCTGGGAGTGGAGAGCGATGTCCAGCCTCAGAAGCATGTGTGTCAGCGGGCTTGCTACAGCCTCCAGGTATCCCAAGTGCCCTGGTTCTGTCTGTCTGTCTGTCTGTCTGTCTGTCTGTCTGTCTGTCTGTCTGTCTGTCTGTCTTTCCCCATCCCCCTTCGGCGACGGAAAAGCTCGGAGTTTAGCCATGGAAACTTAGCGGTCACCATTGACATCCGTTGGGAAATCTATATGGTGAATCCACTCATTTCTTTCCCTACTGATAACGTCAGCGAGGGGCAGCTGGTGCCCTCCTCTCCTCCACAAAGGCCACGCCCACCCAACCCCCAGCAGCCAGGAACTGTATTTCAGAAGAAATCGGCTTTGCCCATGTCGTGTCTACTCTTGGGGTCAGCCTTTTCCGGTGACGGGGAAAGGGAGCCGCGTCAGGACCCCTGAATGTTCCTCCGTAGGACCATCCCTGTGTCAGCTTCCCCGGGCATGGCAGATTTAAAATAAAAAGAATTGCGATGACAGCTATGATTTCGGAGAGCTTCAGATTTGATTCTAGAAGGAAGGACTTGGGGGCTTGGGGCCCCCAGAACAAGAGTGCCTCACTATAGAACTGGGGTCGGTCAGCGGGTGGCCTGTGTCTGCGTCCACAGGGTGAGGTGTCTGCGTCCACACCAGGTGTAAACGGTACCAGAGAGCTGTCATCGGTGTTGTCTAACACTGCCTGTGCTTTGCTTTCTCCTAACAGGTGGGGATCGAAAGGAAATGGATCCAGATAGACGGAGAAGACCCAGATAAAGCCGGTGACTGCGTGACTCAGTGAACGATGAGGCCCCCCCCCCGGGTCAAATTCACAACCCGCAGCCGGGCCAGGAAGTCCTGCTGCAGTACGGTGGGACTTTGTTCTGAGTAGCAGCCTGAGGCCAGAGATCCAGTGGCGAGTCTGGAGAAACGTGTGCCCCAGAGCAGACAGTGTGCACGTTACTCTTCTGATATGGTTTTGCTCTGGGGATATGAGAAGGAATGCGTTCGTGGATTGTGCCGTTACATCTCGTTGAGACACAGAGGCGCTCTTACCTAATGTGAGACCTGCTGGCCAGTTTGCCTGAAGGATATTTGGGTTTTGATTACCCAGTGCCTTTGTTTTGTTGTCTGGGTTATGTGATTTTCCCATCTCTTCTTGCTTTGTGTGTTAGTGTGGTGGTCTGAGTAAGAATGGCCCCCATAGACTCATATATCTGAATGCTTGTCACCAGGGAGTGGACCTGCTTGAAAGGATTAGAAGGATTAGGAGGTGTGGCCTGATCGGAGGAAGTGTTTCACTGGGGGGGGGGCTTTGCGGTTTCAAAAACCCATGCCAGGCCCCCTCCTGTCTCTGTCATGTCTCTGTCTCTGTCTCTCTCTGTCTCTGTCTCTGTCTCTCAGCTACTGCTCCAGCTCCATGAGTACCCTCAAGCTCCTGCCATGTCCCTGTCGAGATGACAGTGTACTAACTCTCTGAAAATGTAAGCAAGCCAGTAAACAGCACTCCTCCATGGCCTCTGCATCAGCGCCTGCCTCCAGGTTCCTGCTCTGTTTGAGTTCCTGTCCTGACGTCCTTCAGTGATGGACAGCGATGTGGAAGTGTGAGCTGAGTAAGCCCTTCCCTCCCCAACTTGTTTTTGTCATGGTGTCTCATCACAACGGTAGAAACCCTGATTAGGACCGTTAGCGTGGGAACCACCGAGGAGGGCAGCCAAAGGAGACAGAGCCCCAAGTAAGTGATGTCTCTTCTTGCTCAGCTCTGAGATGTGGTTAGGTGAAGACAGATGTGGGAGGCGTGCGTTGGAATGGAGATTTGCATGCGTCTGTCATTCTGAACCATCTATGTTCTTCCTGTCCTGCAGCCCCCGCTACATTTGCTGCCTGTCTTTCCCTTGCTGTGGCGTCGTTTTCAAAATGTCTCTGTATTCTGATTTGCGATCCAAAGAAATGGTTTCCATTGATAGCTATGCATATTTTTGGAATGAGCCACCAAGATACAGTGCCTTTTGGTCTGGGGATGGGGTGGGGGCAGGCTTCCTTTCAAGCTGTTTTTCAAATTCCTTTCAATATTTATGTACATTAAAGATGAACTTTTAAAGTTTATTGAATATGGTTTTTTGAAAGTAGCAACCCAAGGACCGTGCATGGTCACAGCGTTTCCTGTAATTGATGTAATCCTCTTCCTAGAAGGCTGAGCCCAGGCTGGATGCTTGTGTGCGGTGCCACACTCCTCGGACTCATTCGAATTCTGCTTCATGGAGAGTGGTTTCTTGTGCTGGGGAGATGGCCCACCTGTTACAGGCGAGGCTCACAACCAGAAAACACGAGCGTGCTTTCTTTAGAAGATGTGCTTACCATGACAAGTCAGAATCTTGAAATTTATGAAGTCCATGTTCTGAGGATTGGTTTTCCATGTCATGTGAATACACGCTCTATTCGTGCTGAGCCTAAGCGGAGACTATAGACTTTCTTTCCCACGTCTTGAGTCAGAAAGCTGTTCTAAACCACGCTGACTTGTTGGCCTACAGAATTTATTTCATGCATTTGTCTCCTGTTGCATTCATTTTCGTCTATTCAAATAGATTAAGACAAACATTCATGATGCTTTGTCTCCATCAGATTTTACTGTTGTGATTTTACTGTGAAGGCACAGAACACAGAGGTCAAGGCTAAAAATGGATTATATGGCTGTATTTTAACCTTGTGTGATATGTGACTCACAATATTTGCTTGAGGCTGGTTGCCGATGCATGGAACATGTATGTGTGGAAGTGCATGTTTCATAAAAATCCCACCATCTTTCCTTGTGTTCTGGAGTAGGCACACTTTCTCTTTCGTGATGTTGGGAAGTCCCAGGAAAGTTAGCTAGATTAATTACATCTTTTTTTTTCTGAGGTGTTTTATGGCTTCCTGACCATGAAGAATTCACAGTGGCTACAGGTGAGTTATATTGCAAAAGAAATCCAGCAAAGGTCCAAGGCATTCCTCCTCCTGCCTTGCAGGATGGCTAATATGTGTGGGTTATACTGTTGGGGTCTTTAAGTCACAAGCCGCCCAGACTTAAGGACCACCTCAAGCCTCAGTAGCAGAAGACTGCCACAAGCCCAAACTGAGTTTCTGGAACAATGTTGATGGCATTACCAGCGGGGTGCGGCTGCATAAATGCTAATTTGCACATCTATTGAGGACCTTAGATATCCATTACTTAGTGTTAAACTAACATCAGGGAAGGGAGGCTTTTAAATACAGTTCTTCTGACTTTAGAAACGGCTGGGGTCAAATGTAACTCCTGAGCTCTGTGAAAACTTACCAGGGCCTTTAGATTGTGAAAAAAGTAAAATCTCTTCCAGGATGCCGGCAGTGATCTTCAAAAGTCCTTGCTTTTAGAGGAGGCAGCGGGAAGGGAATTGGAGAAGAAACACTTCTTTGTAACCTTTTAATTTAGATAACTTCTTTATGTGTGTAACCACTTTGGAGTCTGTGGCCACTTCAAGGACACCACCAGCTTATAACTTGTTCTTCTGTCTTTACTGCCCTGGTCTCTTCCTCTAGCCAGCCCAGGGCCGCATTAACCGGACTCAGACGTTCATGGGTTGATCGTTACATGATCGATTATGCAGGTCTGAGTGCAAGAGCACTTCCGTGTCGATGGGAACAGCTAAGGTTAATCAGTTAGAAAGATGAACACCACACTCTCCAGCTTGCCTTTCGGTCTGGTGTGTATATCAGAGAGCTATAG